TCGTGGTTTTCCCAATTTTCTTCAGTTTAAGTCTGAATTTTGCAATGAGTAGCTCATGATCTGAACCACAGTCAGCACCAGGTCTTGTTTTTACTGACTGGATAGAGCTTCTCCATCTTTGACTGCAAATTATATAGTCAATCTGATTTCGGTGTTGCCCATCCGGTGATGTCCATGTGTAGAGTCGCCTCTTAGGTTGTTGGAAAAGGGTGTTCGCTATGACCAGTGTGTTCTCTCAAGGTCCCTCTTTTCTCGCACTTTTTGGTGCAGCTCGGAAGTGTAGGCCAGCAGATGAGGAAGGCCCCTCTCTGGAACTACAGCTCAATTAAGCCTTCTGGGGGAACATTTTAAACACAGAGACAGCAGCCATCTCACAGATACAGATAACTGCCATTTCGTTACACCTACCAACAGCTACTGAGGGGGAAAGTTAGTCTCAGACAGGAGGCAACTGTCTTCGTCAAGAGAGAAAGCCGTCTGCCAAGAAATTCTGAGAGGGCCCAGAGGCTGAAGGAGTGGGCGGGGAAGAGGAGCAAATTCAGCACCCAGCCAATGGCACGCGAATACTCTTGAGTGGTGGCTGGGCAGGACTCAGGCAACGCAGCCAGTGGCTAGGGACACGTTCTGATTGACAGATCATTCAGCCAACTCATTTTGGCGACGCATAGAATGTTGCCACCCCATCTGGCTTTTATTAATACGGAAGGATGAACCAGTTAGGTTATTCAATATATCATGATAGCAGAATTACTCTGTCTGCTACTTTGGATCCAGTCACAATATCTTGTGGGACCAGGTGATCTGAAGGACAGCCAGTTCCCACATCAGCTAGCTAGCCAATTAAGATCAGCAACTCAAGTCCTATTCTCTGTGCCCCCACCTTCTTAAGTAAGTCCACATAGATGGTTATCTTTTAGGCTCCTTTTTATTTGCCCTAGCTATTTGTTAGTATTGTTTGTTAATATGGTGCTGAAGAATCTCAGTGAAAATTTTTTAAGGGTAGAAGCTGTTTTATATTCCTGTTGTATACATTCTTTTTCAGACATTATTTTTAAAACAGACAGGGTGTTTTGCCAGAAGGTGTCAGCATGGGACCATACCAGGGAAAAAGACAAGCATTTATATAGCAATGTTTGCAGAATTTTAAGATTCAACATGACATCCCAAATAAAATGCAGTTTCCCTACAGCAGTCATTGTCTTTGTAGACTGAAAACTTGATCTCTTCATATGGATATTTGTAAGAAACAAGGCTCCCATTTTTACATATCATTCTCATTACACTCTTGTTTCACTTTATAGTAGGTATTCTTAATTGCCCTGTTTTAAATTCTCAAAGTATCTTCATAGTTTGATTATAAATTAACAATTCGGGCAGGAGAGAGCAAAATAAACAATTGGGAAATCTCTCCTTCCAAATCTCTTCCTCTAGAATACTCTAAGCCATTATTTATTATTGTTGCTGTTATTAACTTCATTTATAGTTCACCTATGGTGAGAACTATTCAGCCAATTAATGAGCTAGTTACAAAGTATAATAAAATATTTGAATCTAACAGCAAAGGACTAGGCAGATTACAGGTATGAGAAAGAGTACGCAGTCAATCAGTGGAGTACAAAATCTGATAAAATAATTCAGTCCTATGGCACAATTTTTTTAAAGAGGTGCTTTTTAATGTATTAAATTATATTTATAGACTTAACCTGAGGAGAGAGAGTAACGTAATGGTTGGAGTGTTAAACTAAGACCACAGAGACCTGGGTTAAAATCTCCATTCAGAACTCTAACAAATCAGCTGTCTTTTCTCCTTCAAAAAGGCAAGAATGAGATAGCCATTACTGATTAACAAACAGCAGAGGCTGATGGATTAAATCCTCTCTTCCTTCCTTGCACAGCCCCAAGGCAACTTGAGGCCACGCAAGCCTGCAATTTGCATTTTATGAATGACTCAGATGTATCCTCTTTACCTCTACCGTTTGCTAATCCCTTTCCCTTTGTTTTTTTGGATCTGTCTAAACCAGTGTGCATTGTAAAATTGAGATCATCCCCCAACAACACATTACCTTCCTTAAAATTATTCAGTTTCTTTAGCGTATTTTTGACAAATTGAACCTGATTCGTATTTGGTGCATACATTGATCCCAAAGTAGTCAAAATATCATTCACTTCCCCTTTTATATAAACATACCTGCCCGACTGATCTGTCATTACTTCTTTGCTAATAAAATGAACAGTTTTTGCTATTAGAATTGCGGTGCCTCTGGATTTTGATGACCCCGGTGAAATATATTGTTTATCATACCATGATGTTGCTAATATCTGAGCTGATTTTTTTCTCAAGTGAGTCTCTTGTAAGAAGACAATTTCTGGCTTAGTTTTTAAAATCTGTGTCGTTATTCTCTTGCGTTTAATTTTGTTAGTCATTCCCCTCACATTCCAAGACATTACTTTATACATTCTTAATTCAAGTTTATAACAACGCCAAAATTAAACTCAAGGCTTTTGTACCAACTGTTAAAGTTTCACTGTTAGCTCTTTCTTAAATGTTAAACTATTCTCTTAACTCTCTAACCTTTCTAATCTCTATAAACTGTATCTGCTCTTAACCTTCTTAAATTCACAATATTGTTTCTCCCTTGTGGGCTTTCCTTCCCTAGCCCTTTTACTATTCTAACAGGCTTTCCTAGTTCCTTTCTTTACTTGGAGCAACTTCTTTACTCGAGCCCCTTCCCCTCTCCGCCTGTTTTTTTTCCCAGAAGAATCATTTATTTTTAATAAGATTGTATATAATATTATGCATCTTATAATTTGCTTTATCTAAACCAAAGCGTATGGCTATAACTACTATATCTATATATATATACTTTTAGCATTCCCTACTCTAAGCATTACTGTTTTGTTGACAGGAATTCTCACTGGTATTTTGCTGGCTTTTATGGGCATTAAAGTCATAGTCTCCTTTTTGCAGATTTTTTAGCTGTTTCTGGTGTTGGAGCAAGTTTTAAGATTTGTAGGAGTCTTTATGCGCTGTCTTCATCATTTGCATGGTAGAGTTTGCCTTGGTGTTTCACTGTTATTTTCCCTGGTGTGCTCCATCTATACAAGATCTTCTCTTCTCTTAGCTTTGGAGTAACTGCTTTAAGGTTTTGGCGAATTTGCAGAGTTTCTGATGGTAAATCTGGAAAAACAGAAATCTGCTGCTCATTGTATTTCAAGTGTCCTTTTTCTCTTGCAATATTTTGGCCCCGGTCACAGAGGCCGGATATCGTGGGGGGAGGCGTGGCTAACTGCCCCGGCGCAGTTTGATCCGCGATTACACAATGAGACGCACCGGCGGCACACCACGGGTCCTTCCCTTGTCGTCGGCGGGTAAACGAGGGACCGGAGGGGAATGCCACGCACCGGAGCGATCACACCACCGGCATCTGGAGGCAGCCCGTGGCAAAAGTTTACTAGTACCTTGGAGGTACTAGTTTTTTAACACGCATTGTCGGCGGTAAGCCACGGGTGTGCTCCACTTCCCAGATGTTGGGATGTGATTGCGCCCGGATAATCCGCCCACCATCCGTGCCTCTCCCGCGGCAATTTTGCAGTGTGACCGGGGCCTTTGTATTGTGCTTTTGACTCTCAAATCGGCAAAAGCAACTAAAATGTCTCTTGGGAATTTCCTGTTTGAATTATTGAACGTTCCAATTCTATGTGCCTTCAGTAAGATCGGGTAGACTCCATCTTCACATTGCAGGATCTCAGTTAGCCACATGCTCATGGATTTCAGTAAGAATGGGGTTACATCTTTGTCCTCTTGAAATCCCCTAAATTTAAGGTTTTGTCTTCTGGCCGATGCCTCTAAGATTAAAATTCTTTCTTGCATATTGTCGGTCTTTTTGCAGTTGTTGATTTTCTGTTTGTAACGTCTGTCCCAGTGTCAGGGCTGTTTCCGGATTATTTTTTGTCTCGTCCAGTGTTTTTTCTATTTGTTCAATTTGTTCTACCAGCGGTTGCAATATTTCGTTAAACTGTGCATTAAGGTTTCCTAGTATAGATTGTTCAGTCTTTTGCAGTGCCAATTTCAAAGCTGCCTGCAAAGTTATAACAGTAACCGGTTCATCGCCTTGGTCTTTCTTCATTGCGTTGTGTTCCGATGCCATTTTGGATTATGAGCGCGTTAGGCTGCTTCGTCTGTGTTGGCGAAGTTAAAGCTTGTAGGAAGTTTTTATGGTACCTTTTGCTGCCTTCTTTGTTCGCCCAGACTTTCGCATGTCCTGTAAAGTCTTTTTTTCTGTGTTTTATCGCTTTGGTTGAGAGAGGGAGGATCAGGTCTGGAATGAGTGGATTAGGCGTCTGCCATCTTCCATGCCAACGCCACACCCCAGCCCTTGCTAATCAAGTTTATTGGGACCTCAATTTATCAGCCTAACTTCTCAGAGGTTTTGTGAGGATAAAATGGAGGAGGGAGTGTGGGATAAAAATGTGACAGACAGAATCTTTCCAATATTCAGAATCCTTACTTTGCTCTTTATTTTCACTCTTAGTACATTTTTATCTCACCCTTCCTCCAAAGAGCTGAGGAAAACATATATGGTTACCCCTTCTATTTTTATTCCTATATAAATATTTGAGGTAGATTAGGCAAACTATTGGGTGATTTGAACCCCAGTTTTCCAATAAACAGTCCAACACTGTAAGTAAGCAGAAAATTAAGGGCACAACTGTTTATTTTTTGCGGTTATTAAAGATAGACTTTGCTTCTAACAATGAAGGTAACCTCCTGTTCTTCCTTCAGTATCTAAAAATTATCTTGTATAATGTAAATTTATTTCAGTGCTACCAATTAATGATTTGATTAAAACAAGATGGTAATCAAGGAAATATATATTAACAGGTTGCCACACCACTGAGGGAGATTATAAAACACTTTGCAGTACAAATTACTAATAATGCATTGCTTTGAGCTGTACCCTCAAAGTGCCATCTCAGAACAAACTTTTTGTATTATTTACCAATATGTTCTATCTTCTTTCTGATAACTTCATATTGATGTGGCCAGCGTACTAGGTGCAGGTGTCCTGCAGGAGACAACCCATACAGATCACGAGGTTCACGAAGCCGTGGCACCCATCTTCCTGAGTCATATTCCAATAAAATCTGTGTGGTCCGTGGTAAAATGTGATCACAAAAGGAATCTGTGGCATAAAGGGACAAAAATAGCCATTGATCTCTTGTGTTCATGAGTTTGTTGGTAGTCCAGTTACCTTTATTGGCATGTATCGTGAGTTTGTTAAACTACACAGCTAATTTATCTGATACAACTGAAAATAATCATGTCATCTATTATCCTTTCTGGTTCGTTTGCAAAATTGTTACAAACATGGCACATAATTCGGACATACAGAATTAGTGCCTAATATGCCAGAGAAATATTTATATCAATACGTTGTTGAAGGCTTTCACGGCAGGAGTTCATTAGTTTCCAGGAGGTTTCCTGTCCTGAAAAACACAAAAGTCTCTACATCTGACAACAGCACTTCAGATAAGATTAGAATTTCAAAAGCCAATCCACATACAAAGGAACCTCCTAAGGAAACAGGAAACCTCTTCAGGAAACAATTCATATACAAAAGAATTTCCTCAGGAAAGCTCCTCCATTAGCATGTTCATAGCCTAGGGAACTCCTACAATGACTCAGCCCTACCCCACCTTCTGGAGTAGATATAAATTACCTGCCTACCATTTTCTTCTCACCTTGACACAGAGAATACTCCATATTTCTGTGTTATACCTCTGAGGATGCCAGTCACAGTTACTGGCGAAACATCAGGTTCTACAATGCCAAGACCACGGCCACACAACCCGGAAAATATACAGCAACTAATATTTATATCAGCCTGAATTGCCACAAAGTTATGTTAACAAAGCAAACGCAGAATTAGCTTTCAAAAAGCTTGATTTTTGACAGAATTAATCTTTCATTTCTATAAGCTCTTTTAAGGCATTTCAGACAAGCATTTGTCAGCTTTACATCTACAAATTTTCTGCAGATTAATTCTGCCCACCCCAAACCCAATGTCAGTCAGACGTATGAACAAAGGGACTTTAACCCTAATGTGTATACTGATATCATGCAACAGAAAGGAAGTCCCCCCTATTGGTTTTGATGGCATGATATCCTCATGTATGATGCGGAACGTAACTTTTTGGGGATGTAAACCAGTTTGTGTGGCAGAAGGTACCATGCAGAACAGAAAACTGTCTTTGGCGTGTTCTGGCTACATGTAAATCAAATCCATTTTTAGACTTCCCTATATGCATTTCAATTCACTATTATGACAAGAAACAAAAATATTTAGACCTGTAAAAAATGTGCACTGTTCAAGCTCTTCTGTTAAACATGGGCCAAAGGGATCCTCATCCTGAAATAAAAGCAAAAACAAAATAGAAAGTAATGTCACATGCACTGCTTGTAAACTGAAAGTAAAGACAATGGAATCAAATACAAACATCATGGAACAATAATAGTGACCAGTGTTCCCTCTAAGCTGAATTAGTGTGAGCTAGCTCACAGTTTTTTAGTCTCCGGCTCACACATTTTTGTCTTAGCTCAGGAAGGATGGCTTCAGAGCAAATTATTATAGGTAAGTTAGATAAATTGCTAATTGCATTTAATAGAGTATACCAGAAGTATTGGAAGGTAATTCAAGCAGAGCTTGTTGTCTATCTTACATACCAGACCAATAAGCCATAATGTGACAGAGGACAACTGAAATCTGTATACAGATCTCAAAATTTCTATTGCATTTTTTCCGCAAGAGTAAATGTAACTATGCTAACTGCATACCACACAATACTCATTGGCAAATACATTATACACAAATGTTTATATTGATAGAGTGGCAGCAGTTACACATTGGTCTATCTAGCTCAACAGTGTCTTCTGTAACAGAAACAGAGAAAGGCCATAGCCATGGTAGGACCTCCTATCTGATACCATTTAGCTAGAGATGCCATTAGGGTGTATGATCATATTTATTCTCCCCCCACTTCTCTGAACAATGAGAAGTTTCAGGGCCAATGCTTAACTGGGTTGGTTCCCTTTGAAGAAAATGTTTTGGTAGTATCTGCTTTATTTACAAACATATAACTACAGCACAGGTGGAGGCAAAGAGGCACTCCTACAGGGTAACAATCTATTACCGTCATAACATCCCCAGAAATTGACCTGCATCCCATGGTATTTCAGCCAATGCACAATAGGGACTGTTCACTAGTCTCTTTAGTTGTGTCTACTTGAAAGTTTTGCTCCAGTTTGGCATCCTATTTTGGAACATCAACATGATACTTTCACTTTCTGGTTTTCCCTGCTTTCTTAAAACTGATTTGATACAATCTTTTTGTGAAAAATTAAAATCAAAACACCCTTGCTACTGGTAGCTTGAGCTACCGGAACCAAGTCATGTACGGACTTTCCCCCTCTCTTTCCTCATCTTGCTCTCTTTCTCCATCCCTACCCTTTCTTGGCTTTTATCCAGACACCTTTGCTTTGAACCCAGTTCCCCATGTCCTCATTGTCCCCCTCTTGCTCTTCCTTTCCTCAGTTCTCCAGCCCTTCATCTCTCCTCCTCTTACCCCCTCCTGAGCCCAACTGTTCTTTCTCTTGCACCTACAGTTCTCCTCCCCTACATCTCCTAATGCTTCTTTCTTGGAGACACTGCACACACATCCACAAGCAGGCTCCATTTAGACTACAAGTGGTAGCCTAATCCAACTTAATGGACCTGCTTCCACTAGGCATTGTTTACTTGTTAGTTGAGTCCCTCAGTCTGTTTGATTTGTATTCCCGATTCATGTGATTAGCTTTTAGTATATTTCCTAATCTTAGTGCATTTTACTGCACTGCCTTTGGCTCAGTCTTCCTTTCTCACTTTTTCTTTCAATTTACCTATGTTCAGTAGAGATCAAATACTATTCAACATTGTCTTCTCCTTCTCTCCCTCCCCCCCATATTTTAACCAGAAATATTGCCCCCAAGATTTCACCTGTTTATATAAATGCTACAAGATCTCTGGAGCAAGGATTTGGGACCTCCACAGGAATGCTGTTAACACATGTATACCCCGAGATAGGTTTTCCTGGGTTAAGACAGTTTCTGTGGCTGCCGTGTGTCCCTAGAGGGCTTTTAAAAAATCTGAAATTGTTAAATTACAATCATTTGCAGCCTTAATTTTTTTAAAGGTACTCCTCTATCCATTTGTCATATCTCTGCAATGAAAAGGGCTAGAGGGTGTTTTTTTTAGAAAGGAAAGCTGAGAACTAGCAAATCATGGCACTAGACTCTTATAGCAACCTAACAATTACTGATTATTTTAGAAGCTGGAAAAAACTTCTGGTGATGAGAGGGAAAATGGTGACTGTGTGGGGCTAATGCAAAGAAAGTCCGGGGGAAATTGCTGCAAGGATGCTCTGCTACACATAAAACTATCACTACGTGGAAGCAGAATTTGTCTTTTCTAGAATCTAAAGTGCTATTTCTTCTCAAACTGCCATTTCTTCACACACAGAAACACATCTGCCCTTTCTCTTCATTTGGGAAGGTGCAGTAGCCTCCTCCAAGCCCTGTGCTTACACTGAAAGCCCACAGAGGCTTTTATTAACACCTTTGGCTCCCAGAGCCATGCCACTTTACACTAAGCCTTTGGGAGAGAACCATTCACTGTAAATTCAGAACAATGTTTTGTCACTTGTTGTTGTTGTTCAGTTGCAGTCGAGTCCGACTCTTCGCGACCCCATGGACCAGATCACGCCAGGCTACTTAGGGTCTAGTTGAACTTTAGGTGGATTAAGTGATGGATTGCATTCATACTTAAAAAGAAAACACTAATTTCTTTACAGAGTGTAATACGCTGGACAAAGTTGAAATGTTCCCATTGTTTAACATCTTCTGTCAATAAAGATACCTCACAACTGTCTAATTTCCAAGCTGCTTTCACAGCACACAAATCTAGGAAACTTGTTCAAACTACACCAGAGTCATTAGAGGTCTTTGGAAGGTCCAACAAGGGTTATTTATGGTTTCCTGCAAACTTCATTTCTAGAATATCCATGAATGGACTGAGGCATTAAAATAGCTCTGGAGCAAACTGAGCCCAGCAGTCCCTCTGATACTCTCCCTGGGGGCTGCTTGGCTCAGCATCTTCATGGCTGCCAGTGGCCATCCAGGGCAGCAACCCACTAGGAATGTTCCTGGTAAGTAATATAAAGGGGCTGACTGCCCCTGGAAATATGTAGAAAAATAAGCCAAATACAATAAAATAAATCTCTACCCAAAGAACTTCTTTCTCAAATTGTGATTTGTCAGCAGTCTGGTAATAGGTCTGTCTTCAACAAACTGTGGAAGCTTTCGTTCTTCTTTACAGAGTCCTTTAATCTAGCTACAAATATTCTAAAAAGTGTCTATGGAACACGTTTTAGCAAACAAATAATTAATGACTTCCTGCTTTTTTGTTCTTAGAACAGGGGTGGGCAGAAGTCTACTAGTGGGGCACTTAGTACTTGCTGGTTGCTGGGATTTAAGTTAACATACTACTATAGAGGTTTTTTTCAAAAGATATGAACATCTATTGTTTTTCAAGAGTAAATGACAAAGACAGGGAGTGCAGAAGAAGGAACTGGATCTCAAATCAATCTTCAGTCACAGGCCTCTCAAGGAGCAATGCTAAACAGATCTGAGTAGTAAATTCAATTTTATTCAACAGGGGTTACTCTTAGGAAAGTGTTTTTAGGACTGCAGCATCTGAGTCTGAAATGAGGCTTATTTGTTATTGCATACAAAGAGAAATATTAACATGAATAGGAGGGTCTGGAAGAAGGAGGGAGAAGTAGAAACAAAATCCATGTTATAGAAAACATATTTTTCATAGAGAGAACAATGTCGAAAAATGCAGAACAAACAAACCGAAGAACAATCATCACTGGTTAATTCTTCTACTTGCTGCTTGTCCTTATTTGAAACTTCGGACATAATCTCTTGAAACCAGGCCCTTTACTTTTCCTCCACAGACTGTGAAAACATGAAGATCAATAATGTGGACATTATATGTGTCATCTTAATCGACAACTCTATTCACACACACAGAAAATTGAAGTAGTATCAGCAGTAGCTTGGAAACAGATGCCTCATGAGGTGGCAGTGGTGGGAGCTTGTCCCAGGTCTTGTGGCCCCCTAGGGATGGTAAGCAGCTACACAAACATGGACGATTTGGAGCCAGTCAAAAGAGCACTTTTGGAACACAATCTGGCCCCACTTACAGGACAAGCAACTCTGAGTTTAAAAACAAAGGTTCTTTTCTTTCCAGGTTTGTAAAAAAGGCAGGGGAAGGTAGGGAATTCAGGTATAAAAAATAACCAGATGAAGCATAGGAGTTTGTGGTTGGGGAAATATTCCAACCAAGGCAAAAAAGGGGAGGCATTCATGTGGTGAGGTGGTGTTATTGACCAGACAAGTGGCATTCTGACAGCCATTCCAAATTAGATCATTATTAGGACAAATCTAACAGAGGACAACCTTGCTCTGAGAAATGCTAATATGACAGGTTTTGTATGTGGTTAAAGGCAGACTGATTAATCACTGATTGATCTTAATTAACAATCTAATGACCAGATAATGGGCAAGGCCTATTTTACTCAAGTAGTTATTAAATTAGGGAGGGTCCAATTTATTAAAACATTAATATGTTGCCTTTCCCACCACCAATGACCGCTGAAAACAGCTACTCCTATACTGGTTTTCTGTCCTGGTAAAATATGCCAAGAGGAACTGGCTGCTAAACCCAATAATTCTGTAATGGTGAACAAATCCACCGCATGCAGAACAGAGTGCCAGCAAAGCTATTGCAGCGCCAACGCTCTGTAGACATTTAATTATATACATATGCCCACCAAATCCATGTGTAATACCATCTGTAAAATAATTTAATCCTATTTTCTCTAATACCAGCATTTACACTAAAATTGATCATATTCTTAAGTATCTTACACTGTTTGACCTCAGGGACATCAGCAGTTTATTCAATTTTCTCATGTTTCCTTATGCATCTCAGGTGGTATAGTTTATTGAACGTTGCAACATTATTGAAAATGGAACATTCTTTGACCCACATTTCCCTTTAACCAGATCATAAATCAATATTGAATGGACACCTCTTAAAGTCTAGTAATAAGGTAAACTGATGTCTTTGCCAAACACCAAAATTACCAGTTTCCTTAGCTGCCTTAAACTGAGAATTAGCTATAACTGGTTACAATGGCGATATCATGAGAGCTATTTTCACACTAGGTTTGTCCCAAAACAATTAAGTCGATACCTATCCAGTTAAGGGGACGGTATCCTCTAGTACTTTTGACAACTGCACCCAACCGTTAAGAAAGTAATCCAAACCCTACATCCCAAGGCAACCTCAAGCAGCCTCTAGGCTTCATGGGAAACGGAGAGCTGAACTGTGACAGAATGTCCTCCTCTCCTCAGTAGAGAGGTTAGTTCCCACTACCACACAGGTGTTCCCACGGCCTCCATAAAGTGGACTTTTATCACGTACAAGTCAGACGCCTCTCACCTTTGTATTTTAAGAGAATTCGGATTCCCTGGTATCGGGGGTGGGTGGGAGGAAAAATCCCTAATCCCACATGGCTAAAACTCGGCCCCGCCCTTGGCTAAAAGCCCCGCAGCCAAACAAAACCGCGGCGCAGCCAGGGCGTGGCCTGGGCAGCCTCTCCTGCCCGTGATGGCGGCTGGAGAAGGTTCCACTGGGGGGAAGACGGAGAAAAGACGTTGCCTGAGCAACCGCGCGCTCGGCAGTTCTCCTGTGGAATTCTCGCTGCTTCCCCGTTCCCGCCATTCCGCGCCCCTCCCCTCGCGGGCGGGGGCCGGGACTAGGCAGATAAAGGTTCATTCTGCAGTTTGGTCGCCTCTTTGCTGCCGTTCTAAATGCGCCCTCAGTTTTTGAAAACGGATCACGTTTCTTGAGACAAGGAGGTCTTTCTAAGTCTGACTGAAGCAATATTAGGGTTTCTCCGCCCTGGTTTCCCTGCTTTTTGTAACATTTGGAATACTGTGTACAGTCCTGGTCACCACACCATAAAAAGGATACTATAGCTTTGGGAAAAGTGCAGAAAAGGGCAACTAGAATGATAAAAGGGTTGGAACA